GGTATGTTTGTTTGGAGTCGAAGCAGCTGGTTCCTGCAGGGAGGAGCCAGGATCAACACAGCCGGGAATAGCCCGTGAGATCATCGCCACGTTCCACGGGAGCCTGCAGCACCCCCCGACGTGCAAGGGTGCCCGGCCCCCGGAGCCTCTCGCAGACCACTCTCCTACCAGCACTATCTTCCAGCCATGCTCAGGGCATATGCTGGAGCATCCCTCAAGGGTGGGGGTCCCTGGACAGCCTCAATGTGGGGGCCATGGAAAGTCCTGGGCAAGGGCAGGGCTGGGGCCAGCAGCGGAGCCCATGACTCATTTGTGTCTCGACATTTTGAAGCTCAATTACTCCAGTGTGAGTCCAGGAACTCCCTCCCCCCCTCACCTCTGGGATCCCCCAGGGCAGGTAGTGGCAGGGGTGCAGGGCAGGCAAGTTCTGGGTTCCAGCACTGCCTCTGCTTCTGGAGGCAGCAAGAAGGGGACAGCAAGAAGGGGACAGCAGGAGTCCAGTGGACTCTCCCATACCTGTGACCTGCCAGCCTCAGCACGCAGCAGCGGGGGGCTCTGAGTCCTGCTTCTCAGTGTGACTGTGGCAGACTGGAGACCCCCTCACTGTCATCTGCCCTCCTCGGGGCTCACTGGGTGACAGCACCTGCAGCCCCAGGCAGCAACTGCAACAGCTAAAAATACACGGCAGCAGCAGCAGGGCAGCCCCGTGCGTGGGAAGCTGCGGGCAGCGGGGCGGCGTGCGGGGCTATTCTCAGAGGGCTGCGGGACTATTCCTGGCCGGTCAATATTGATTCAGCCAGCTCAGGTGCAACAGCTCAGCCTGGCAGCACTGTATTTAGGGCCCGTCGGGAGGCGAGGTGGGCAGCTGAATTGGGAGCATTGTCTGCGGAGGAAGAGGGCAGGGAGAGGATGTGAGCTCTGTAATCGGCAGCAAGCGGCTCCCGGCAGCAGCCCGGGAGAAGGTCACACCCTGGGGCTGCCTCTGGCTGCGGGGTGGCCAGCGAGAGCTGCTGGGCTGCACGGAGCATCTGCCCTGGGGATGGAGGGATGGGACCAGAACAGTGCAGGCAGCTCCTGAGAGGAATGAGGGGAGGTGGAGGGAGGGACATGGGGGACAGCTGCCAGTCCTGGCCCCTGCAGTCTCTGAGCTGCAGGGTACCTGGCTGCTGCACACACAGCCACTGGGCAGGTAGAGGATGGTTTGGGGGCTCCAGGTAGCAAAGCATGTCTCAGGCAGCTCCATGGTTCCCTGCTTGTTCTAGGCACCTTGGGGTGCTCCAGGCCAGCCCCGGACTGGGTGGCTCAAGCCAAACAGCACTGCATGCACCTGAGCCTGCATCAATGAGCAGATGAGAGGGCAAGGGACTGATTGTCCCCATTCACTGCTTTGGGATATGCCTATCCCCTCTGGAAGGTTCCCCAGGGCTACATCACCAGACACAGTTCAGATGGCACAGTGTAGCCCCCACACTGGCACATTGGGAGCTGCAGGAAGAGCTGAAAAAACTCAGTGGAAGTGCTCAAAGCAGAGCTCAAGACGGGGTTTATTTCTGGTGGCACAGACAGGGGGTGAGCGAGGCTTGCCATAGCCACTCGGTGCCCAGGAGCTACTCAGGCAAGGAGCCACCACATGTTCAAGGAGACAGTAGCAGCTAGGAGCATAAGGGACCCTGCCAGCCTGCACCCACCTGGCTCTCAGGGGATACTGCTGCTCTGGGGTGGCCAGGAAGCTCACTGCAGCCACAACACTGTGTAAGGGAAGCTGGTGTCACCACTGCCATCACAGACGTCTGAAATCCTTGAGGGCTACCTGGGCAGCATTGTGTCCCGCTGCTCCCATCACTCCTCCTCCTGTAAGAGAGGAGGAATGGGGAGCAGCAGGCAGCTCCAGCCCCAGGAGCTGGGGCCCTGGGCTGCAACAGCAGCGCTGACCCAACTCTCTATTTGTGTGAGGGCAGAGAGGGGAGTGGACACCCCCACACCCTGCATGCTGCCCTTGCACCTCTTTCGTGCATCCTGCTCTTTTGTTGCAACCCCCCAGGGGGTCCTGGCTCCCAGTCCTACTCACCTGGGTGGGCTCCACTTCCACACAGGTACAAGCCAGGAATTGGGGACCGGTAGCTCGAGTAGGATGGAGCTGGTCTGGCAAAGTACAGCTGGTCCAGAGACATCCCTCCATGGAAGATATTCTGCAAGCAGAGCTCTCTGTTAACTGGCTGTGCCTGGCCCAGGGCTGTGAGCACACCAGCACTGGCACCAGAGTGTTGCTCACATGATACCCACCCCACCGGGCAGCCCGAAGATCCTCTCCAGGTCTGGTGGCGTTAGGATGTCCCTGCCAACGACCGATGCCTTGAACCCTGGGGCGTAGGCTTCGATGCAGTCAAACACTAGGGAGAAATTAAGGGATTGGTGGACACCTTGTGAGGATGTGGTGGCTGGCCCCTGAGCAGCTCCAGGGTGGCTCTGCCCGTGGGCAGGGACCAGCACTCTTGGTGTTATCCATGTCCACACATGCATTACATACCTGTGTCCATGTATGCGTTACATACCTGTGTCTGCATACGCGTTCTTGGCTGGCTCGCCCCAGTGCTGCCCACCCGCCAGCACGGAGGGGGTGTACTGGGTGAACAGGGACACGACATGGCAGCCCTGAGGGGCCAGCCCTGGATCCAGCACCGAGGGGATGCAGAGCTCAATCATAGGCCTGGGGGAGCAGGACACTAGCTGGGCAGGCAGAGGGGGACCCAGACACCCCAAACCTCTTCCTCCAGCACCACCCACCATGGTTGTCCTGCTCCTTTGCCAGTGCATCAAGGTGCACTGGTGCAGGCTCCTACCTGCTGGAGGGGTGCCCCTGGGTGGCCTCAGTGAAGGCCTGGTGCAGGAGGTGGGTGCCCTCGCAGTTGAGGTGGATGGAGCACTGGTGATGGGGCAGAGGCTGGCCATTGCGAGCATTGGGAGCAGCCAGGAAGCTGGGCAGCCGATCCACTGCCACTGGCCATGGGAGGGGGAACAGGGAAAGGAGGGTGCAGCCTCTTGTTGAGCCTGGTGCCAGCGCCCCTTCAGCAGGGATGGTGGTAGAGGTGGCCCTGCTGGTACCTACCGTTGATCTTGGTGACAGGGGAGCGCGTGTCAATCTGCTGTATCCGCTGCACAAAATCCTTTGGCAACTGCTCCTGGGGTAGGAGGGGCCAGGGCAGAGCCTGGTGGTGAGGGGGCAGGCCCAGCCAGGGGATACCACCATGCCAAGCTGCTGCCAGACCCATGTGCCCCGTACCTGGGGGGTGAGCTCCAGGAAGGTGATTTGGGGGGAAGCGTTGGACAGCACGAGTTTGCTCCTGACCTCAGTCCCATCCTGCAGTGCAACTCCCTGTGCCCGCCCGTCCCTGCCCAGCAGCACATGGCACACCACCTGGGCAAAAGGGACAGCACCTCACCAAGAGCATCCCCACTGCCTGCAGGCTGGCCAGGCAGCTCCCCTCACCCCGACACCCTGTACCTTCTCAGGAAAGATGTGAACTCCATGGGCAACTGCTGCAGAGGCAATGGCTTGAGAAAGGGCCCCCATTCCGCCAGCCACGTAGCCCCAGGCACCCCGCCGTCCTTCCAGCTCACCCATCACGTGGTGCAACAGCACGTACCTGCGGTGGCAGGAGCCCAGGTGAGCCACCGGCCGAGGAGATGCGTCTGTCCCCTGTATGGGCACGGTGAGGATGGTGCCACGGCCCCCATAGATGGGACCATGCCAGCTCATAGGATGCCAAATCAGTTACAGGGAACACCCTTAGGCCAGGACTTGACCGGACCTGGGGACAGATATGTCAAAACAGCAAACGGGCAGTGGGAACTGCTCAGAATCCACACAGCAGGAACGGGGGGCAGCCCCTTGACCAGCCTCAATCCTCCAGCCACCCCAGGCAGGCAGTGGGAGGGGAAGGCAGCGGGGCAGGGCACAGGGCGCTAGGACAGCAGATCCAAGCAGCTGCCAGAACAGAGGATGGCATGGCGGTACAGTGTGACCATGAGCTCTGGGGGAAAGGGACCCTCACCCGCTGCCGGGGGTGTGGGGGCTGGCCATGGCTCCTATCACTGCGTCAGTAGCCAGAGTTGCCTTCAGGGGCTCTGACTCAAACCACTGATCCAGAATCTGGCCCAGGAGAAAAGGAGAACACCAGGCTTGGTGTGGGGGCTGCCACAGCATGCTGGCAGGCAGGGTGGCTGATGGCTCTGTGCTGCTGCTGCAGGCACTTACCTTGGAGATGGGGGCTGTAAGCACCTCATAATAGTGAGGCAGTTGCCGTCCTAGTGCCAGCCCTGGGAGTGCAGAGGCAGTGTGAGACATGCACAGCCATGCCAGGGCCAGCTGCCTGTTCCTGTTGGGTCTGGGGACCAGGCAGTGGGCAAGCCTGCTGGTCTGCCAGCCCAGCTAGAGCTCCTGAGGAGCCAGTGTCCTGGGAAGGACCATTGCCTGCTCCAGGTGCAAGCAAACACCCATGGCCATCAGGGTCCCTTCACATCCAAACGTACCTGCCCGCAGTAGGGGCCACAGGGCTTGCAGGTCCCTGAACTGCTGGAGCAGGGAACCCTTCCCCAGGGCAGCTGTATCCACTGGGGGGGCATCCAGCAGTGGGTCAAGGGCTGACACCAAGCCCCCCATGAATACCTCATACTTAGGGTAAGCCTGAAAGGGGACAGAGAGGGGACAAGAAGGAATGTGCCATGGTGGGTGCAGTGGATACCCCAACTAGGAGGATCCCTGCTGCTCCACTGGGCAGGACAGCCCCTCAGAGGCTTTGCTGTGCCAGGCACGTGGCTCAGCCATACCTTGGCATCCTTCTGGGAGAACTGAGCAATCTGCTGCTGGGTCTGGGCCATGTTGTGCCCCAGCAGGAGGGAGCGGGGCGGGCTCCTGTCCTCCAGCAGTGGGGTAAAGGAGTAGGGGTCTCGCGGGAGCACCCTCAGACCATGCCGCTGCAGGACAGGGACATCAGGATGCTGTACCCCGCAGGACTGCACCCTGCAGCAGGCTCACTCTGCCAGCGTTCTGGGAAGTTCTGGCAGCCTGGAGAAGGATGGGTACCAGTACCTGCAGCTCCAGCTCGGTGTAGATCTGCGGTCGCAGCAGGCTGAGCAGGTATGATGCCCGGGAGAACTTGAAGCCTGGAAGATGTGGGGTGGTTGGAGGTACCCATGCCGTGCTGGCTGGGGGCAGGAGGACACGAGGTGCACAGGGGTACCTGGGACAATCTCCTCTGTGACGGCCGCACCACCCAGCACATGGCGTCTCTCCAGCACAGCTGTGCGCACCCCTGCCCGCTGCAGGTAGGCAGCCTGGGAGGAGTGCAGTGTCATGCTGCCCATCCCTTCAGGTGGGATGTGTTCCCGTCACCTGAACCTTCTTGCACACAGTGCCCCCTTCACAGTGCCCTGCCACCAACACCCTCCCTCGCCCATGGCACAGGCCCTCCCTGGTCCCACCACCATCTCCCAGTGATGGTGGTGACATCACCCCACTCTTGGTACTCACTGCCACCAGCCCGTTGTGCCCTGCAAGGAGAGAGGGAGGTGAACTGAGTCCAGTGGTGTGGTGGTCCCACTGCACAAGGCATCCTGTCCTGCCTGGAACACAGGGCTACTACAACCACCCAAATAAGAGGGTTCTGGACACGGCGATACAGGTGGCAGGGAGCATCCTCCCTGTCCCTACAGTCCTCATGCTAACAGTGCAGGGGAGGGGAACAGCATTGGTCAAAGTGGATGCTCCAGCTGTGGCCTGCACAAGCAGCATGCTGGGGAACTACAGTGTGCCCAGCTGTGCAAGGTCCCTCCACCCTCCCTGGCACAAGGAGCATACCCGGGTGCTGCACTGTGCCCACTACTACTGCGGTCCCCACCCAGCCACCCTCCAGCCTACCCTGGTGTCATGGCCAGCTTCCCACAGCCCAGCACGGGCTCCCTCACCCCACGTTACCTGCCCCGATCACCACCGCGTCGTACTCCCGCTGCAGCCGGGCTGCAGCCCCGGCATGGGCCAGCCGTGCTGCCTGCCCCAGGGGCAGACACCAGCCCCGCAGCCAGTGGGACGGGCAGCCCGTGCCCAGCCTTGCCCGGAGCCCAGCTGCCATGGCCACGCAGAGCTCAGCCATGGCTGTCCTGTGCACAGCAGTCTGGACTTTGTTTCTACAGCAGAGCTTTTCCTAGGGCTTCTGGGCACGGGGGGGAGGGGAGAGGGGGCAGGCAGGGGGCAGGGGACACCTTGGTGCAAGGCCAGACACTGCATCCCAGGGCTTATGGGAAGCTGGGTTGGACAGGGACACATGCCAAGTGCTGCCCCTCTGCCCTGTGCAGCACTTTGCCAGGGCTTTGCCAGGGACTTGCAGGCACAGTGCTGGAAACCAGCCCCAGTGCTGAGAAGGCAAGAGGGTTGGCTCCTGCCTGGTGCTCAGCAGGATGACAGGTGCTCCACAAACTGGGCAGAAGGCACTGGGCAGGCATGGAGGGGCCTGAGAGACCCCCCCCCTCCCCCCGGCCTCTGTTCCGCTCCAGGGAGGACCCAGGGGTACATGGCTGGGCAATGAGCCAACAGGAACTGTGAAACAGGGGGAGCCCAGCTCTCCCAAGAGCAGGCAAGCCTCAAGCACAGCCCCGAGAGCAGGGAAACAGGCAGCTTGGGGGTGAGCTTGGCCCCAAATGCAGTACTGTGGCTTGGCAGGACAAATTCCTACCCAGGAGGATGGGGCAAAGGCCCTGCCATGGTTCAGTGCTCCTTGGAGCAGCCCCAGTGAGCAGCACAGAGTGACAAGGGGCTGCCAGAGCACCTCAGGGCTGGCCCCATGCCCAGTCGTGCCCAGGGGGTTTGCACATGCATTGAGCATTCCCGAATGTGTCTGGGAAACACTTGAGCTGCTTTGGCTGTACCCGCTGTTCACAACTGGGCTCAGTCCCACGAGTGACTGGTGTCTGGGAAGCCTGGGTACAGGGAAGGGAATGAGGGATGCATCACCCCAGGGCCTGCACCACCCCCTGCATCTGGGGGTGAAGAAGAAGGGGTATGCACCCCGGGTCACTCCTCCATGCAGGTTTGGCTACACCCGTTTGTTCTCCAGCTAAAGCCCATTGGTGATGCCAAAACAAAGCTATAAATCCTGCTTTGGAAATGCACTTTCCAGCAAGGTAGTGATTTGCCAACAACCTCACACTCTCACTCTCTGCCTGCCCCTGGAGGCTGCTGGGTGCCAGGGAAGCTTGTGGGGAGTGGGAAGGCGGGCAGCTGGAGCCTTGGCCAGGCTGGAGGATGGGAAAGCTGCTGGTGGCTGCTTGCAGGCACAGCTGACTGCACGGCACACAGACATCAACAAAGCAGCCCAAGCACCAGGATCACCGACACTCCTGCTTTAATCCTGTCCTGAGGGAGGTGGATGGAGTCAGCTCAGAGCAGGGGGATGCGGGAGGGCTCCCAGAGGTGCCGGGCCAAGTCACAGGCCTGCTGGACCACGAGCTCAGAGGGAATGATGCCCAGGTGCACAGTCAGCAGCTCGTAGCACTTCACTACCTCTGCCTGGTGGTTCTTGCTGTAGTAACGCAGTAGCTTCCTGGGGAGGAGAAGACAGGGGGGTTTGCAGGTACAGCACAACCTGACATCCCCTTTCTAACTACCCAACCCCTAGCAAGTCTCTGGCAAGGACACAGTGCCCATCTGCCAGCTGGACAATGGTACCAGGTTGGAGAGACAGGCTGTTGCCACCCTGGTGACACCACAGCACTGTTACCACCCTGCAGCAATGTCCCAATAGCAAAAGCATCATTCATGGGGACAGCACACCCTGGTGCCAAACTGCAGGGTTGGGGACTGCTCACCTGTAGTAGTCTCCTGCCAGCATTCCAATAGGAGGAGAATCATCTGAGAGAACTGGCACCTCCATCACCTCCAGCTTGTAGCCCTGGGGAGAGATGACAGCAGAGGACCGGAACAAGGAGGAGACTGCTGAGGAGCCAGAGCCACCTGTGCCTACAGCCTGTTCCCCACCCTCAGAAGGTGCTGGGGGAGAGGGGCTCAGCCCCTTCCTGGCCCCACATACCAGCTCATTCTCAAACCAGAGGAAGTAGGAACAGCAGTAGTCACCATCCTGCAGCACAAGTGTCGTGTAGCCCTTCTGTAGATATCGCCGGGCCAATGCAACCAGGGACCAGACCTGGGGGACAAGGAGAACCTGAAGCCTGAGCAGACATCACCCTCTCCTGTGGTCCCCACACCACCCCCAGCCCCACAAGAAGTACCTTCCTCTTGATGAAGGCAGCCAGGGGGCCCTTGCCCAGCTCTGAGCTGGACTTCTCTGTCACACTGAGTGATGGTGCCATCATCTGCCCAGTCGTGCGGTCCACATAGACAAAGTGCACAAGGCCAGGAAAGTCCTCCAGGTATGTGCGTTGGGTTAAGGGTGTCCAACAACTTTGATGCCCTTCCAGGACAGCCCCTGAGCCTTGGAGAAGCTGCCCTACCACACTCCTCCCCAAGACCCTGGTGCTGAGGGGACAGGGGTCACCTCCCTCCCACCTCTACTACCTCCCAGGGACCTCTCCTTGCTGGGCTGGGCTCCCAGCTGCGCAGGGACGGGTATGACACCATGGTGATATTGCGCCTGCTCTTCACCAGTAGAAAGTCCCGCCAGTCCAGCAGCTTCTCCCTGCCAAGAAGAGGCTCAGTGAGAGGCCAGGATCCCCCAAGCCATCCAAGTGCAGCTGGATGTGGAGCAGCTCCCCAGGGCTGCCAGCCACCCCCAGGCACTCACCTCATCAGCTTCTGGGCACGGTCCCGCAGCGCCTGGGACAGGCTATGGCTGGCAGAGCCCAGGAAGAGCTGGCGGTAGACGGAGCAGAGCTGCCGCTTCACATTGGCCACTGCCTGCAGCATCCTGAGCCAGGAGATACAGTGCCAAGTTTTGTCCCTGGGTCCCCAGTGCTGCAGGGACAGCCATGCCATCCCTCAGGCTGGGAAAGATTCCCGCCTGCTCATGAGACTTTCTCTGGCCATGCTGTACTCACTCCAAGGAGCTTGCAGTCTCGCTTCGGGAGAATATCTTGTTCTTGAAGTCCACCCAGGCATTCTGCAGCTAGAGAGAGACAGGGCTCAGTGTTCAGCTGTGGGGACAGAGGTACAGGGTTCTTGTGTCCCCATTCCCACCTGGATGTCCTGACCACTCAGCTTCTTCACAAACTTGTCCATGCGCTGCCGCAGCTCAGCCAGAAATGGGTAGGAGCGTGGGGCTCCTGCTTCTGGCCCCTCTTCCAGCTTCCTCTCCAGCACCAAGAAACCATCCAGTAGCTGGTATAAAGTAACGGCCACCTGGGTTGTGGCACCCTGCCAGGGAGGGGAGAGGTGGGTCAGCCAGAACCCAGCCCACTGTCACTTCCCTCACCTTAGAGGCAGCTCACCTTGGTCAGGAGGACAAGGGAGATGCCCGGCCAGAGCGGGAGGCAGTGCATGGTGTGTGGCAGCAAGGGGCAGTAACCTTCACGCAGGTTGGCATCCAGAAAGATCCTTCTGGGATTTGAAGCTTCAGGGACCAAAGGCTCCAAGGTCTGCAGCAAGTCCTCTGCCATCTGGGGAGAGAAGGGAGACACTCAGCCACCTGCAGGGTCGAGACAGCCTGCACCAACCCAGGACACTCTGGAAGGACACAGCAATCTCCTGAAAGCTGCAACCGGGCACAAGTGAACTGATAGAACAGGAGGGGACATGTGGTAAAAGATCAGCAGCAAGTGAAGTGCCAAGGGACCCCAAAAGAGCAGCCGATAGAGGGGAAGCTGCCTGCAAATATGCAGGTTGCAAACACCTTGCACCAAGGCTGGGACTTCCTTGGAGAGAGTGTGTGAGGCTCTGCAGCACCTGGTGGGTAAGCAGCCCAGAAAGGCCAGAGGCAGCAGAGGGAGACACCAGCCTGCTCTGAGGCAGCCCTGGTCCCTCTGTGCCCGCAGCTCTGGATCTGGAGACCATAAGCAATGTCCCAGAGAGAGAATGGTCAGAGCCATCACAGTTATGCACAAGATGGGGGAAGCAGGGCACAGCGCCGGGCACAGAGCCACTCACAGAGCCTGGGGCACTCACAGCTGCACAGCAAGGAATGAGTGACAAGGGCTGGAAACCACAAAGAGCACCAGGACAAGCTGAGGAGGTGGGGAGTTAAGAGGGATCGCAGGACACCTTGCTCACCTGGACTTCTGCAGCATCTGCCTCACTAGCAGTCAGCACCTCAGCGTCCTCTAACCAGCTCTGGCTGCCTGCAGGAAGCACAGCAGGTCACCCTCCCTGCCAGTGCCCCCCCCAGCCCCAGACCCTCCACAGGGCTGGGGGGCATGGGGCAGGGCTGCTGCCAGCCGGGCACTCACCTGTGCTGTCCCTGCCTGGTGAGGGCTTGGGCGTGTAGTAAACCTCAGGCAGTGAGAGATCATCTGTGTCCTGCTGGCAAAACCAGCTGGGTCAGTAATGGGAGCAATGCAGGCAGCCCAGCCAGTGTCCCACCCTGCACCTCACCTGGTCATCTGAGTCCTTCTCTGCAGCTCCATGGGAGCTAGGGCTGCTCACAGGGATGCTCTCACTTCTCTTGGGTCCCTGGGGGAGCATATTCTCTGGTGCAGGCTTCCAAAAAAAGGAAAAAAAATTAAGGCCTGGCCGCCAAGGCATCACCCTGAGGGGGAACCTCAACTTGCTGCCACCCACGCCCAGCTCTGCAGCACCTGGGGACTGAGCTCTTCCTCGGCACTCTGGCTGGGGTACATGTCCTGCACCAGGAGGATGAGGACGAGCAGGTCAGCAGGCCGGATGGAGCTGGTGTTGCGGCTAAGGCCAGAGAAGGGACAGGTCAGCTGGGAGGGCGAGTGGCTGCCCCAGGGAGCATGGTGGGGCCAGGCGCACCTGGAGCAGAAGGCCAGCAGCTTGGTGTGCACCAGTAGGAAGGCATGGGCCACCTCGTCCCCCCCTCGCTCTGGGCTGGTGTTGATGTACTGCACGACCTGTCGCTCCAGGAATTCAATGCACTGCTCGCACAGCTGGGGGTGAATCAGCCGCTCCACGGCCTGGGGGGCAGGAAGGGGGAACGGCTGCTGAGCCCCCCCTCCAGAGCCAAGCAGCCCAGGAGCTGCCCCGTACATCCAGGCACTGCTGCTCTGGAGAGCTGCCCTGAAGAGACCTTCCCACAACCCAGGACTCCACAAAGCCTCCCACCCCTGAGATGCCCTGAAAGGCAAGGGACACCCGGGGAC